GGATCCCATCTGCTTCGTTCAGCCTCCAAAAAGGAAAAAGAAGAAGAAGAAATGGAAAAATCAGCCTAAAATTACGTCATTGCCACACCGGTAATTTCTGATTGCGATTTGTGATTTCTGATTTCTAAAGGAAGCATCCCATCCCAACCCAGTGCTTGAAAGGCACTCAAACTAATTACAAGCTCTACCTCTAGAGAGAAATGTAACGAATTCAGATCTGGAGGGTCATTACGTGTTGAAAATAGTGTTTAAGGTGAAAAGGCATTTTTCTATTTCCAGCTGGGGGGAAAAAGGGAAGGAAAGGAGTCGGGAGCAAGCAAGTGCCTCTGCCTCTGCCTCTGCCTCCGCGAGTGGGAGTGCGAGGGCGTCACGGAAATAGTGAGAGGATTGGTTCGTAATGTTAAGCGAATATGTTATGTTGTGGAAGAGAACATGGCATGGCGTCTTCTCTGCCTGTATTTGGGGATGAATTTTGTTTTCGGCTTTCTCCTTTGCCCTTTTGGACCCACTTGCACCTCTCCGCCAATTGCCATCTGACACGTCCTACATCCCTTATTACACCTTTCACCTCAATCCTTTATTTTCATTTTCACTGACATATTTCAGACTCGGTTTGAATTTTTTTTCAAATTTAAACCGAAATATAAATAAAAAAACAATTACTCTAAAAATTTAAATAAAATAATTAAATTATTATGAATTAAAATGTTGAAAGATATAATAAAATGATTAATGGAATATTTAATTAGAGTACATAATATTCTTTTTTTTTCTTTTGTGTGTACATTTGCATTTCAAAATCTTTCAATTCTACAAATCAAATAAATTATTTTTTCTAAATCTTCTCTAGTTACCACCCATATTTAATTATTCTAATATGATTTACTATTTATTTTTTCTTTTTGGTAGTTGTATATATGAGTGTAGCATATGTGAATTTGTGTAAGTTAAATAGCTTTGCATGTATGAGTCATTATTAATATGATGTGACAACTTTAGACTTGTTGATGAATCATCAAAAAGGTCAAAGAGCAAGGAAGAGTCTAGTGATGCAACTTTTTAGGTTGAGTAGAAACATTGAAGATTAGAAGAATGAGATTTATGTGGATTGTTATAAAACTATGTCAAAGTGTATATACACAATAATTTTAGATGGAGAGAAATAGTAATGGGATGAATGAGGTTAGATGATGAGTTCTCCAAGCATTTTTACAATATTATTATCAAACAGTTTTCTAAAACCCTTTTTATTAAAGGCATATTTGTATTAGGGGGAATTTCAAATTAAATAATAATAAAAGTTGTTTTAAAAAGTGATTATAAAAAGCGTAAAAGGCACGCATGGATCAAAATTGAGTGAGAGACTGGGTGATAAGGGAGATGAGTTCGTCAGGGATGATGATGATCAAGACCTGATTGACTGACTCCCAACCTTCAAAACCGGAAAAAGAAATGCAAAATCCTCAATCCTCCACCAATGCAAACCAAGATCCGACAATTGAGCCCCAGCCTCAGCCTCAGCCCCAGCCCCGGCGACCACGCGGGTTCGCTGCCGCGGCCGCAGCGGCTGCAGCCTCAGTGAGCCCCACCGGCACTCCATCTGGAACTGCCGCCGCAAGCACTGGCTCGTCCACCGGCAAGGGGAAACGTGAGAGGGAGAAAGAAAAAGAGAGGACAAAGCTTCGGGAACGGCACAGGCGTGCTATCACCAGCCGTATGCTGGCCGGCTTGAGGCAATATGGTAATTTCCCTCTCCCTGCGCGCGCTGATATGAACGATGTGTTGGCCGCCTTGGCGCGTGAGGCTGGTTGGACCGTTGAGCCCGATGGCACTACTTACAGGCTCAGGCACTCTCCTCCACCCCAACATCACCAACATTTGGTTTGTTTTCGTTCCTTCTTTAACTACTAAATTACACATTTTCTCTTCTTCTTATTTTATTTTTATTCTTACTCTTCCTTGCTAATTCTAATTGGATTTCTTTATCTTGATTATCTTCACTTGTTCTCCAATGTAAAATCTCCGGCCAGTCTGTTTCTTTTAGCATAAGGTTACTGCCATTTTTACTAGGGCTTTAAGCTCTTCTCCTCGGCAACCTACATAACAAAGATTTAGTTAACTTTATACGTATGACTATAATTTTGATGCAAATACAACTAATAAGTTGCTGCAGTTCTCAATTTCTTAAGAGGGATGAATACATGGTTAACACCTCAGCCTCATTTTGTAGCGTTAACCATTAAGGTTTTTTTTCTTTTTCAAACCATAATGTTCATTCTATGCACTTGGTCTATGTTGATTTCATTCAACTCAGTAGCGTGAGCTTTAAGCATGGCTTGACTATGTTTTCAATCCAATTATCTTTTGAACCACTAGTGTGTAAGTTTCAGGTTTGTTGTTAATGATTTTTATAGCTGTGTATTCTTGCTGTAGTCAGTTGTTTCTCCATCTTTGCATGAAGAAACTTGATCTTCATTTGGACATCCATATCGTAGATGCTTTACTGGTTGCCACTTTATGTGCATGGTAGTTGATTTTTCTTTGTGACAACCATGTTTTGACCTGTAATATGCACAGGGAGCATTTCCAGTGAGGTCAGTTGAAAGCCCACTATCAGCTAGTTCGTTGAAGAGTTGCTCTGTTAAAGCAACATTAGACTGTCAGCCACCTGTTGTCAGAATTGATGAGAGTTTGTCACCAGCATCTCTTGATTCTGTTGTTATAGCTGAGAGAGATACAAGGAGTGAGAAATATCCCAGTACTAGTCCCATCGACTCTGTTGAATGCCTGGAGGCAGATCAGGTAATTTTTTAGCTAACATATAATATATAGATTGCTTTTCTTTCTTATTTCCAGGTTTCCTCATCCTTCTGCTGTTTGGGCTACAAACTGAGGGTTTGACTAATATGTTTTGGTCACGATTATGATTTGTTAGTGTAACTTATCCTAGTAGGCAAGATTGAAGATTTAAAATGAAAGTGGTTACTTATTTATATTATTCAATGGCCTAGATGTCAATTATTGCTTCAGCTACCATTTTTTGGACTGGCAATATTGTTTATCTGCATGTTTGTCAAATTTTGCTCTATTGTGGAGCCTTTGGTAGTGTAAAGAGGTTTGATATGGTGATTGATTGATGCAGCTTATACAAGATGTTCATTCCAGGGAGCATGAGAATGACTTTACGGGCACCCAATATGTCCCTGTTTATATAAAGCTTTCGGTGAGTGCTTGATCTTTGATTTTTTGGATTGAGAATGTCAGATGCATGGTTCTTGTCATGGCTTGTTAATTTTCACATTGACTTTCATATTATCTTTCTGGACACTTAACTTTTTGTGTTATTTGGCAGACAGGTGTCATCAACAACTTTTGCCAGTTGGCTGATCCTGAGGGTGTTAGACAAGAACTGAGTCATATGAAGTCCTTAAACGTAGATGGAGTTGTTGTAGATTGTTGGTGGGGAATTGTTGAGGGTTGGAACCCACAGAAGTATGTATGGTCTGGCTACCGGGAATTATTTAATGTTATCCGAGAGTTCAAGATGAAGATACAGGTGGGTTTTGACTCGATGAGTTGCATTTGTCTCTCTGACTCTGTGTATGGTCTGGCTGTAGATGTTTAACATTATTTTGAGAGTTGATGCAGTAGTGTGAAATGGCTTTCATGACTGTTGCTATATGAATCACAGCATGTCAAATCTATATTTAATGAAACCTGTTAGGAACTCTGAAGGAATCTCTTTCCCTCTTGACATTTGCTTCCCAATTTGGAAATGGTACACAAAATGTCGAAACATCAAAACTTTTATCCTGCATTTGTTGGACAAGCCCTTTTGGTTTCAGGAGTCTTGCTTGGTGGTTTTTGTCTTACATAGAAAGCATCTGCTTTAAAGTTAGTGAATGGCTTTTAAAGCTTCTTCTTCACTTTGAAGGTTGTAATGGCATTTCATGAGTATGCAAGAACCGACACTGCTGAAGTAGTGATCTCCCTACCCCAATGGATTTTGGAGATAGGAAAAGAAAACCAGGATATCTTCTTCACAGACCGTGAAGGAAGGAGGACTACTGAATGTTTATCTTGGGGCATTGACAAGGAACGTGTTTTAAATGGAAGAACTGGCATTGAGGTATTGAAATAATATAACCTGATAATATTTTCTATACCATTATATGTATTCCTAGTTTCCATCAGCCAACCTTAGGTGAATGGGTTTTGGAAAAGATACTAAGTCTATCTATCACCGTTTTAACCAATTTCAATAAAAATTCTAGTCCTTGTTTGTATAATTCATCAGATTTTTATCTCTTTTTCACTTTCCCTTTCATCCAAAATGATGTGAATCACATTAATCCTTTATTGCATGGGACCAAAATTGCTCAGTTGACTCTAGCTTATGCTGATTGTGTTGCTTATTACTATTGTCAATTATTTGCAGGTGTACTTTGATTTCATGAGAAACTTCAGGACAGAGTTTGATGACTTGTTTGCAGAGGGACTTTTTTCTGCAGTGGAGATTGGACTTGGACCGTCTGGGGAGTTGAGGTATCCCTCTTTCTCGGAAAGGATGGGATGGAGGTATCCTGGGATCGGTGAGTTTCAGGTATCTGTTAACTTTAACTCCATGTTTTTGCATGTTTCTAACTTCCATTGGAGGTTTTACAAGCAATGTTGTTGTTCCTTTTCTCTATTAACATTGGTGCTTTCGAAGATATGAGATGAAAATGAGCATGCAAGTTTTTCCTATGTTTCTTGAGGTCTCAAATTTGAAGTACATACTATATTTTGTTGAGTTTTGACAAGTATTACTAAGTATTATTATGTACTCAAATGTAAATGTAAGGGCAGACTGATGAGGATTCAGGTTCTCTGGTTTGTGTCATCCACTACATGGAGGCGCTACCCTACTAGGTTGAAAGTGTTGTGCCGGATATTAAAATTGTTAGATGTGTACGTGCATGCAAGAAGTAAATTTTAAAACACATGTTGAATGCAACTTCTCTAATACGCAAATGTTATGCTGTAACAGATATGCCTAGGTAGCTGAAATATAGATGCTCGTTCTCCACCCTGGCATGCTTTGGGGTATTGTAAGCTCAAGCTTAACTTGATTAAAAACACTCAATGCTTGAAACTTAGATTGAGCTCAACTGATTTCATCTTTCAAACATGAGGTTTGCCACGGAAAAACAGTCCAGCTACTTGAGGTCAACTCTATTAGGCTCAATTATGATCAAGCTAACATTAAGCTCGAGCTCCAGTTAGAACACTTACTTATTCATATATTTATATATTATGTGTATGTTATTATGAATCTATAAAAAAGTGACATAATTAGGTCTGCAAGCCATACTTGAGTTAAGTGTTAAAATACTTAAATTTGGCTTGCTCAACTCAACAGGTGAATGTACAAGTCTGAGTATTCTTCAAGTCAAGGCCAAGCAGCTTGCTAACTGATATACTTTCCAAAATTAAAAGGAAAACGAATTCATAAATTCCATACCATAAACGAATTTTAAAACTGCTCATTCTGTTGTACCTGGCACTGTCATGTTATCTGATGCTCATATTGTGTTTAATGGTTTTTTATTTTATTGCATGCTAAAATTTTGCATTCTCTTTATGTGTAATCAATATCTTTAATGGAGGACTCAGTTGGCTTCTTGGACTAATCATGCCTGTATGCAATCATTATACCTAATATCATCAAATCTGTGCAGTGTTACGATAAATATTTACAGCAAAATCTACGGAAAGCTGCTAAATTGCGTGGGCATTCTTTCTGGGCTAGGGGACCTGATAATACTGGCCAATATAATTCTCAGCCACATGAAACTGGCTTCTTTTGTGAACGAGGTGATTATGATAGCTACTATGGGCGCTTTTTCCTCCATTGGTATGCCCAGTCACTGACTGATCATGCTGATAATGTTTTGTCTCTAGCAAGTCTTGCTTTCGAGGAGACCAAGATTATTGTTAAGGTACGCAATCAGTGTGTACAAAAGACGCTGTAGAAAGCTAGGTTTAACTTGGATATTGTTCATCTGCATTACTGTCATTCCTTGACTCTTTCTTATTAAATGGTACATTGGCCAGTTTATTTTTTATGACTTTTCATGCAATTAAATTCGATTCTCTTTGTCAATTCCATTCTAATGTTGCACTTCGCTCCCATGCTTTAGATCGTCCTGGTCATTAACAGGTTCCAAATCTAAATGAATTAGCCAATTATGTGATCCAAAGTGCATTATTAAATTTGTCCTTGAAGATTAATTTAATTCTATATGTTAAACTCTGGTCGTGTTGAGTAGTTTTGATGTATGACTTGCTGTATTTTGGAACTGAAGTACAGTGGAGGTTGTTGTGATCAGTCAGTGGTTCCTGAAGATGATCTCTGATTAGAGGTTGCACGACATTATAAAAAAATAAAGAAGGCTTGATTTATGATCGAATATGCAGGTACCTGCAATTTATTGGTGGTACAAGACTTCCAGTCATGCAGCAGAGCTAACAGCGGGATACTATAACCCTACTAATCAGGATGGATATTCTCCAGTTTTTGAGGTTCTAAAGAAACACTCAGTGACAATAAAGTTTGTGTGCTCTGGGTTGCAGGTTTGTAGTTATGAAAGTGATGAAGCATTTGCTGATCCAGAAGGTTTGAGTTGGCAGGTGATGGTCCTTTCTGATGTCCTATGACTTAAACCATTTTTATGCTACATAGGTCTTTCCTTTATTATCTGTTCAACAGACTTTAATGCTGGATAAGCTTAAGTACTTTACAATTTAGTTGTACCATGCCAGCCTTGAATATTAAGGATAGGCTGGTTTGCATGAATGTTATTTGCTTCAGTTATTGTTAAGCATCTAACCTAAAACCAGTTGGTACCTCGATATGAAGTTACAGCACCCAAGGTTAACCAGTGTAGGGATAACACCTCTTGATACTCCACTAAAACAAATGGGCATATGATGTGGATTAAAAAATGGGGCAATAAATAAACTGACTCTAATACCATGATAGCCAACCTTTGGACCTAAAAGTTTAAGCTGGTAGGTTGGGAGCGAACTAACGTGATGTCTCCTGATAGTTCCTTTTGCCTGCAAGCTTAGCGAACTCTGCAAGTGATCCAGCCACCGGCCCTTGTATGTCATGTGCTGAAATTAATTTCTAATGTCATAAGGTGCTCATGGCTTAGACTCTTAAGTCTTAACTGCAAGGTCAAGTAAAAATAGGTTGAGAGGCTCCTGTGAGATATAAGGTCACAACAGACCCAGACTGATATGATCTGATTACTCCACATAATCCATGAATTGTATAAAGTATAGTTCTGAAGGTTCTAATTTACTGCTCAGGTTCTCAATTCAGCCTGGGATCGAGGATTGACTGTTGCTGGTGAGAATACACTTTCATGTTTTGACAGAGAAGGGTGCTTGAGAATAAGTGAGACAGCCAAGCCAAGAAATGATCCTGATCATCGCCACTTTTCATTCTTTGTCTATCAACAGCCATCTCCTTTGGTTGAAGGAGTAATATGTTTCCTAGATTTGGATTACTTCATTAAATGCATGCATGGTAAGAATCTTAAAGTTTACTCTTTATCTTTTTAACTGGCTTAGTTACATGGGTTTCTTAGATCAATGTTCAACTCTATTTTTGTCCATATCTGAAGGCCTTACGAAAATCATATGTGCTACTCAAAAAGCTAGAAAGAAATTTTCATACATAATTGTGAGGTGGCTGCGTGTGATTAGAATCAACCATTAAGAGCTATGATCTGATATCCTAATAGAATTTCCTCTAGTATTCATCTTGTTGACCATGTACTGAGATCTAGCATGGCCTGCTTGGTTCTGTCCAATGTCGAGCTCAAACTTGGCACTTCAAAATGTAGTGGACTTAAATGTTGCTGTCATACTTAGAATGTTCCCACAAACTATAGGGCTTCTGTTATGAAGCCCTAAAATATTCTGAAAATGATTGTACTCTACCATAGAGTTAATTTTCCTTAGCCACTGGGCCACAACAAAGAGTTACTTTTTGTTTAGTTGCATTCACAACATTTAGCTTCTCAGGAATTTTATGATTTATTATTATATTAACTTTGTTTTGGTAATCTGCAATGCAGGAGATATAACTGGTGATCTAGTACCCTAGCATTATGCTGTTTTTGGATAAAAAGTGGAATGATGAAGGTGAAGTGCTAATTTCAACAAAACCCTAACACTGATGGGGTTGCTAACATGAAAGGTGTAGGATATGTTAGGGTTGAGCTCTTGTGAGAGATTTTACTAAATTTGTCCAAGTTGTTTTGCTCATGTAATATCATATTCTAATATATGTATATCTGTCTGTCTGTCTGTCTGTATAAGCTGAGTAAAGCAACATAAAGCGTTTTACAGATGACGCATAAGATGTATGATATTGATATGTATTTTTGGCATATAATAATACAGTAAATATATGGTTTGGGGTCATCAATCATCAAAGCTGAAGCACGCAAAAGAAGCAGAGTAACTCTTTGGTAACCAAACTATGTATAATAAATTGAATTCTGATATCAGGCGATGATACTTTCCTGCTAAGTAAATTAAGGCTGTCCGACTCCACTCTTTTTTCCTCCCTGTAAGGATGGCATATTTTGACTAATCTACAATTATATGTGTTTTTAGTTACAATGTCGCTGTGTTTTGGATTTGAAAGCAAAACAATCTTGGACAGGGCCCAATGGTGTGAACTCAATTTGTAATTCCAATTGGGCCCAACATATTTGTGAGCGCTGACTGCTAGGGTTGGATCATAGGCTCACAGTAATAAAGAAAGAGGTGGAGAAAGATTGTTTCCTTCTCCTTCTCTTGTCTGCGGCCCTCCCATTTTTCCTTCTCGGACCACCACGCAGAGGCAGAGCGGAAGGGATGGTTAAGCACAACAACGTGGTGCCAAATGGGCACTTCAGGAAACACTGGCAAAACTATGTCAAGACATGGTTCAACCAACCTGCCAGGAAAGCTAGAAGAAGGCTTGGTGGGTACTCCTCTGTTCTCAATTTTCTTCGATTTCTTTGATACCAATAGTCTGATTATGTATGGTATGGGTATGAGCATTTCGAATAATGTGCAGCAAGACAGAAAAAGGCTGTGAAGATATTCCCCCGCCCTATCGCTGGACCCCTTCGCCCAATTGTTCATGGCCAGACCTTGAAGTACAACATGAAACTCAGAGCCGGCAGGGGTTTCTCTCTGGAAGAGCTCAAGGTGTCTCCTCTTTTTCCTGTTTCTCTTTCTCCCACCAACCCATGCGCCATGTAATGTTGTCATTCTCCTTCATTACTGTATTGGGCGTACGCTGCTTGCTTATTCATGCATGCCCATGCCCAAGTTTAATCATGCTTAGTATGCCACTGATTTCAGAAGCGATGCTATTAGTTATTACCAATTTGAATAAATTAAAAAAAAATACATTTATTGCTGCTTCCTTTTGCCTTCCAACAAGATTTAGACTGAGAAACAATAAATACTGATAAATGTATTACTCAAAACGTTTGTCATTTCAGCGTCGGGTGATCATGTTTACTGCCTATCTCAATGTTTTCAGGATAGGATTTCTTTGTCTGTTGTTTATCTCCATCTACATGCATGTCTATCCAACATGATTGTTTATTGCTATGGCACTCATTTTTTGATTTGTCACTAGGCTGCTGGTATCTCAAAGAAACTTGCCCCTACCATTGGCATTGCAGTTGATCACCGTCGTAAGAATCGTTCTCTAGAGAGTCTTCAAGCCAATGTTCAGAGGCTCAAGACCTACAAGGCCAAGCTTGTTGTCTTCCCAAGACGAGCTCGCAAGTTTAAGGTATTTATCAGCTGCCAATTCTAAGGGTTAATATTCTTTTTTTTGTTACACTCTACCCAGTGCTTTAACTTTTGTTTTTGCTCTTTGTGTGTGTTTCTGCAGGCTGGTGATTCTACTCCTGAGGAGCTGGCAAGTGCAACCCAAGTTCAAGGTCCATACATGCCTATTGCTGGTGACAAGCCATCTGTGGAGCTTGTGAAGGTTACAGAGGAGATGCAATCGTTCAAGGCATACAACAAGCTTCGTGTGGAAAGAATGAATGAACGTCATATTGGTGCCAGAATGAAGAAGGCTGCGGAGGCCGAAAAGGAAGAGAAGAAGTAAACTGCTTTTATCGGAGGGGTCTGTTTAGGTATTCAACTCGGTTAAGATAGACATTACTACATTTCTTTCTCTCCTTTCATACTGTTAGCAGGGTCATTGATCTACAGGACAATTGGTATTGCTTCTATGAACCTCTTTTTGAGTGTTTTCCTTGAATGAGATATCACATAATTTTATCATTGCTTTTCATTACAAAATGTTTATATTCACAAATGATTAACCGTATGCTTTCCTTTTATTTTTGTTTTATAAAGTAATACTTATATTGATGCCGTCAGCATATGCACAAGATTAATTATATGGAAAACACTTGTCATATGCACATACAAAACACTTTTTTAAGTTATAATAATCACTCTGAGGCAAGTGATTTCGTTAATACTTTTTCCATCAATCTTCACGAGTTAACATACAGGGTAACACAAATTGCATGTAACTGACTTTCAATTGGCATCGTGTTCAGTAGAAACTTTGAGCAGAATGTGCAAACCAGCACTAATTCACAGAATTACCAGCTAAATGAAAGAATGCAAAAGAATCTATGCATGTCTCCTATGGTGTCCTAACCCTAGAGTATTGATCCCACATAAGAGTTCTAATCCTTGTCACGAGGTTGTCAATTGTAAGTTGTAACTTTGATTCACAACGAATCCAGCCTCTTATCCTTGAGAGTCACAATATTGTGGAAATTCGCATTGGCAAGGACCTGTTCTTACCTGCAAGAAGGAAGGTAGTCAAGTCCCTCCGTCTAAAGTCTGATGATTCAAAAAGTTTCTGCGATTCATGAATTTCTGGAAACAAAATTACGCTACAACTCATTCACACACCTTACGAAATGTGAAAGATACTCTTCTTGAACCCCTTCTGATCGCAGTTTCCTTCACCTTGTCAATCTGCAAATTGAGCATTAATGGACTTCCAAGTTCACAGATGATAATACAATGCAAAATAGTCTCAATGCAAGCAACAGGCAGTTGAAATGCCATCGGAGAACGCCTTACATGCCAAGTAATACGAATATCTAATTGTAGCTATTTAGGTGAAAAGGAACATGCAGAGCTAGTAATCACCACAGTTCTTCCTGTGACTTAAAATTTTCTTTAAAAATAAAAATAAAATTGGCAGGAAGATTTTCAAGCATCACCAATAAGAAATGTTGTGGATTTCATAGCCCTTATCTTTGGGGTCATATCATCGGGTCAGTAGAAATAAGATTTCTGAACCTCTTAAAGAGAAGCTTGCATGGATGAAAGTACTCAGTTATCCACTAATTCTAAAGCATACCTTATGGTGTGGAATGTAATGATGCCAAGCATATCGTGCCTCCCCTGATAGAAGGAGCATAGATCGAGGAGGAAGGTAGATAGCCTTCCTAGAAAGCTCTGTGCAACTGTCAGGGTTTTCAACTTTAACCTCAGTTTTTGAGGCCCACGAACCTGCTGTATATCTTCTGAACTCCATAACGCAAGGCCCCGCTAATGAAAGGCTAAAAATTAATCCTTCGAATGCCGAGTGAGTGTCTATGTGTGGGGACAACCCCACCCCAGGTGGGTATTCATTAACCTGTACGGTAATTACTAATCTTTAGTCTCACTTACAGAACATCATCATCTTCCAAGCTAAACATCTACAAGCATGACATAGCATTCAAGATTTTCTCTCTTTCAAATATAAAATATGAAAACTTTAGTCTAATTAACAAATAGAGTATATATGTCTCACAATGTCTAATTTTAAGGAATATAAAGAAGAGGAGGCAAACTTGCTACTACATACCGTCAATTGGTCCAAATCCAAATCTGCAGGATCATTAATGTTTGGAAATGATGAAACCCTCTCGAGTATGAAAGAAACAAATGATGGAAGTGCACCCAAATACTGTTTTGGATCAACATTCCTTGTCTGTAACATGTAAAAGGATATAAAGGGAGTTAAAGGGCTTTACGAGTTTTCAAAATTCTTATCCTAACCAGCAAATTATCATATCATAAAGCAATCTATACAGGTACCAAGAGGTTCTCTTTTTCTGGGGCCAGAATACCAAGAGGTAGAAATCAGCATTTGCCTACCGATACATTCATAGATGTTATATATGCTCTACACCCAATCATTCAAAGCTTGATAACACCCAGGGAGGTTAAGAAGAGAATATCCTAACCCTTGCTAACAAAATCATAGGTCTTCACCCCAAGAGCTTGATGTGATAACTTTTTCTAATAACCAATCTTCCACCAGTTTTCAGCCAGTTTCTATTGAGTGCAAAGAGATTTGGGGATTCAGAGTAAGTCTGACATATGCAACTAATGGTACTGTTGTATTCCCTACAGCTATCGACCTGATTCAATCAGAAATATGAACAAGGTAGACCAATATTGGACCAATGAAATTGGCAGAAGAGAGTCCTGCAATATAATGTGCACTTACGTCATAACAAAATTCATATCCATAGTGTTGAACTCTCCTTTTCGAAAGGCTTTTCCAAGGTCTATTATCAACTGCTTGAAGCAATTCCTGAAGAGAAACAAAGGGCCTTTAAGCAGAAAGTGGGGCTGAACAATCTAGGAGGTGCTGCTACTTGAAAATGCATATATCACTGAATAAATAAAGAATAAAAGAAATTAGTACAAAAGCCAAGGACCCCTAACCTCTTCTTCCTTAGCACTGATGAAGTCATGGAACAAGTAAAGTCCTGGAATGTTTAAATCTGAGGCGATTAATGAGACTGGAACAGAGTCATTGACCTGAGTGTAAATGGCATATTTAAATATTAGCAACAAGTACAAAAGAATATCATGCAGTGCATATGTGAATAACAATATAAACAAGTGAGATTTGACACACCCTGGAAAATGGTGGTTGCAATATGGAACGACAGATATGCAAAGAGCGGCCTCCAAGGGAAGGACAAGGCTGCCCATTCAAGGCTTTGAAAGCAGAATGTGCAGAGGTTGATTCAAGAAAAGAAATGATAACACGAGCACCACTCTCATCAGCTGCATACACTCCTTTGACCCCCCCAAAGGAGCTAAACACAGATGCAATGGTGTCATATGAAAGTCCCACTGCAGGGCCACAGTTTGCCACATAAAGATTTGGACTTGACTCTCCATCTCCTTCCTTGGGACGAACAAATCTAGGCAAGACCATCTCAAAACCTACAACATTCTAACAGTTTTACTTAGTGACACATCAATTTTGCTTTGTGATTTTCAGTTTTTTTTTTTTTTTTTTGCTTTTAGTATTTGGTGGGCTTTGGGAATTGTTGGGGTTAGCGGTAGCTCAATTGTTAGTAATGAAAGCAGAAAAGGAAAGCATTTGAAAAAAAAAAAAAGAGAAAATGATGGTTCCAACTTACAAATACAAACTGAATGAATTACTAGACCAGTGTTTAGGAAGTTGGATTCCATGTGATAGAGAAACAGGGATATGGGATTATGGGGGCAGATACAGAATCAACTAAGACAAATCAAATGTTATTTTCATTGAATAAATCACACTTACTAGTATGAGAAATTTACCAAAGAAGAACAAAAGTAGAGGAAGAAGCCTACGTTTTTTCTTCTTAGCCTGGAAAGAAGCGTCCTTGACCACTTGACTCGTTGGGATGGGGAGACAAAGGAGCACAGCGAGCGAGCGAGCGAGCAAGATGAGAAATAGAGAATGAATGTCTCAACTTCCAATGCAGGAAAAGCGACTCTGCTCTGGCCTCGCCGTTGTCCAGCGGTGGGTAAAACGGACTCGATCCAACCCCAGCTTTCACTTTAATGAATGAGGAATGAGGACAACGACGACGACGATAGCGGCTTCTCACTCCTCACCAACCCAAAGTCTCAAAACAGCCCAAACATTAACCCAAAACCCAACCCAGCTTCACTCTTTATTTTCAATCAAATGATTAGTAAATTGCTCCATGGGTGACTTCCTTTATGTTGCCAAAATAAACCAACAGTAATTAATTTCAATTCAAACATACATGAAATAAAATCCCACTTATCACTTTCTATATCAAATTTAGCACCATCCCAATCTACAATATATATATATATTCTATATGAAATCCTCATGATTATTAAAAACAAATTGCATTATTTACTTTGTTTTTAACAGGCGTGTCGCTGTATGAGTACGGCGGAAACCCAAACTTGTTTTGTTATTTTTATAATAATAATTTGCTGTATTCAAGGGCAAGGCTGTGATATACATACTTGTATATGTATAGTTACCATTCGTTTTCCCAGCAACACATTTAGGTGGCGTTTGATATCAGGGATGTAAGCCACATTTCCTGCAATGTGGTTTATTAAATTACATTGCAGTGTTTGTTTTGTAACAGATCACTGCAATGTAAGATTGCAATGCAATCACATTGCAGCCAATGGATGTAACGTGATTGCAGTCTAAAACCAATGCAATCACATTACATTGCACTTTGCAATGTTCTTAAAGACAATTTTACCCTTCAACTTTATTATCTTATTAAAAATATTTTATAATATTATAATTAAAATAAATATATAATATAAGAATAAAAATTAAAATAAAATAAAATATAAAAAATTAATATTTATATAATATAGATAAAACAAATTAAAATAAAATATATAATATAAAAAATATATTAAAAAATAAAAATAAAATATATAAAACTATAATAATAAATAAAAATAAAATATATGACATTAAAAATATATTTAAAATATGATATTATATAAAAATTAATCATATAAATATAAATATATTAAAAATAAAATATAAAATATTATAATAATAAATAAAAATAAAATATATGACATTAAAAATATATTTAAGAAATGATATTATATAAAAATTAATAATATAAATATAAATATATTAAAAATAAAATATAAAATATTATAATAATAAATAAAAATAAAATATATGATATTAAAAATATATTTAAGAAATGATATTATATAAAAATTAATAAAAAAAATATAAATATATTAAACTTATATTTTAATAATTAGGGGTAATTTTGACAATTAACATTACATTCTCACTAAAGTACTTATAAACCAAACACTGCAATGTTATCTTCCCTGCATTTTAATCATTATTTTACTTACATACCAAACACTGTAATGTTATTTTCCCTGTAATCACATTACTTGCAATCATATTACTTGTAATCACATTGCATTGTAATGTACCAAACGCCACCTTACTTTCTC